CCATGGAACTTGTTCGCTGTAATCGTTGGTGCTGAATGATGCAGGCGTCTAAAAGCACTGCTTTATCATTAATCACTACTTTGCCAAGAGTCTGAAATCACTCCAGGAGATGAGAATTAGAATTCTAATAATACATTATTTTTTTCTACAGCAGGTAAATCCTCAAAAGCATCTTTGCGCAGTGTCACTTCTACCTCAAGGTTAAATTATTTTTTGAAATAGGAAGTCTACCCCCTTAATAACCATAACTTCTCTTATATTTGCATAAAGTTAGTTATCATGTTCTTGTCATTGTAATTGATTTAGAAGACATGAAAACACACACACACACACACTCATTCAATGAAACAAATCTGAGTGATACAGTTGGTATCATTTCAATAACACAATTAATTTGATTTCTTTTTTTGCAATTCTTGCTTATACTGTGTTATTTATAATCTTCTTGTTTAATAATAAAGACATAGCATAAAAGAGAGAACAGAACTAGCTAGCTTTTCAGAGCTGACTCAGGGTCCTTTGGGTATTGCTGAGGCAAAGGCCATTACCCCCAGTTTCCACCGGGTCCGTCTGCGCCGCGCTGCGCCGTGTTACGGCTGCGCCGCGGCGGTCATAAGTATCGCGGCCACTCTAGTCAATGGGTGCTTCCACCACACACGCCGCTTTACGGCTCAGACGCGTCCCAGAAGCGTCCCAGAAGCGGCTCGGCGCAGCGCTTCTCTAAAATTAGGATGAACCCTATTTTTGCCACGGCGCAGCCGTAACATAAGGTCGGGCAGGCAGCCCCCCCTCGCAGGAAGTGGAAAGGTGAGCATCCGGGCCAGGCCCATCCCCCACATATACTAATTTAGCAGACCCCCTTCCTTCATCACAACACCTCCACTACGATACGCACAATGGACGACGAGGTTTTCATCATGGAAGTGGAAAAACACACTATTTGATATGATGTAACCAATGATTACTACAAGGACAACATCAGAAAGGACAAGGCCTGGTTTTTAGTCGCTGCAGTTTGTGGAGTGGAAGGTAACAACTACATATTAATGTTTTAAAGTTAATTAATACTTGTAGGTACAGTACAGAGCCATTCAATAAACACAATTTAAATGGACACAAAAATAAAACATTTAACTACGTAGCCTACTTACTTTCTTGTAGAAGTACAAATGTCCAGGATGCCCGAATCAATAACAAAACTGTGAGCCTGCACGCACGACGCTACGCTTCTGAAACGCTTCTGGGACGCGTCCGGTGGGTTATGGCGCTAGAGGAGGTCGGACCAAAACCGTGGTAGATTATATACGATAGTGGTTGTGCCATAGAAATATAAACAAGATACACTGCAACAATATTTAAAATAATTGATTTGTAATATAATAATCCATTCTACCCAAAAATCCCACAAAAAAGTGATAGAGTATGTTTGAAGACTAAGAACGCCACAAATACAGTTTTCAGCTTTAAAAGAAGAATTACTACCTCATAGTTGTATGCCTCAACCAACCAGTCAAGTTACAGTTTACATCCATGTCTTTTCTTTATGAAAAGACCTTATTTGCATATTCATTAATATGAGATGGGGACAGAAATGTTGTTTTGCAAGGTCACTTGGACCTTGACCTTTATTCACCAAATTCTTATCCGTTTGCCCTTGAGTCCAGAAGGACGTTTATGCTCATTTCCTAGTTTTGTTGTCCCTAAGCGCCTTCCCAAGATATCATGTTCACAAGAAGGGACAAACAACCTGATGTATGGACAGCTGGGTGCGTAGTGTACTGAGGGACAACTCGAAAACACAATGCATTGAGGCATAAGAAAAATGTGTGGATCCCAAGTGTATCTATTCTTCTTGACATAAAGGGTATGAATGATTACCGGTTCTTACAGGAATGGAGGAACTACAGCAAACAGTTGATGCTGCAGAAAAGCAGATCATCATGGGACTGCACAGCATCTGCACTTCTGTGTATTTGCTCACCTTAACATACAAACAAACAAGCTGAGGAAGGTAGTGATCTTCCTATTTTTGCTTAGGATCCTCTTTTGTACCTCAGATCAGACTAACATCTGCTCATCGTACCCGACTTGAGGACAAACTGAATAAAATGCAGGAAGTAGTGACTAGCAATGTGATGTAATTGGTCACTCTAAAATATAGATCTGGTTAAATATCACAAATATATACAATTACATGTATAGTTATACATTTAATACGATTTAAAGTGACTTCCCATATGGAGCCAGGAAATTCCTTTTGTTTTTAGAAACACTAATTACAAGGGCTGCCCTCAGCATACAACCTAAAAAGAGTGTGATAACCTTAACTTCAGACAGCATTGCTTAGTAATTCTAATTAACCTTTGCATTTGGAAATGTTCTCGATACAAGTCTTAGAGCATCTATGCAATTGCAATTAACAAACAAAGGGTAGATGCACTTTGCATAGATGCCATAAGAGCTGTTTCCCAAACCATGTTCATGGCAACAAAGACTAAGTTTAGAGTAAGTAGCTGGGGTAAAAGGATTGCTCAAAACAGAACACACTCTTGCTGATCAGTTTTAAAAGTAGTCTACTTAAATAAAATAGGCAGCAAAACAAAAATAGAACAGAATAATTCACAATGTGTGTAGTCGTTTTGTTGTGACTTGATGGTTTGATTACGTTTCATTAAGCCAATGAAGACTTTGGTAGATGTAAATGTGTTCAAAAAAAAACAACCAGGGAAACTTCACAGCCCAATTTTGCTAAATGTTATTCCTGTATAGGAATCACTGACTTATAGTGAACCCTAAATGTTACCACCACCAAGAGCTATAATTCAGATTCCAGATATCGACACATCTATCCATATGTTGCTGATGACACAATTTGTTTTGATGTTTGATGAAATCCCAATCGCTAACCAACTGTCTGTACCTTCTGTGATCTGCTCAACCAACTCGGGCAGCAAATTCAGTCTTTATTGTCTGCAGGCCGATGCAAGTAGGGGATGTAATAAGGAGATGCAAAGTGCAGCTCTCTAATTGCATCATTAGCTAAACCAATGACTCAGTCACAGTGACTTCAGCCTCCCCCTCCCCCCACCACTACCTCCTCTGCCCCATCCAGAAATAGGGAGTCAAGCCTCAAGCTCTTTACTGTACAGCTGCTCAAGCAGAATCATTCTAACATGTTATGTGCAACAGCGCAAAATGTTAGCGTTCCAGAAATATCTGGCTGAAAAACATAGCATTAATGAGCCTGTGCTATTAAACATGTCATCAGGACACTATTTACACATTGATGTGTGTCTTTCAGGGAATGGAAACAATTAGTTATACAGAAATGAAACATAAGCTCAGGCAAACAATGTAGTGATGTTGCCACAACATGACAAGCATGTCATGTTAGGGTTAGCCCTGACTAACATTTTGAAGAGGGCTAACAACTAGCCTAAAGCTTTTCAAAGAGTGCCCAGGGATAACAGTCATATACAGGCACACAATCGTGATTTAGAAAATGTGGGTTTTGATGTAATGCGATTTGGACAGTAAACAATGCTCTCTTGGTGCACAGTAATGGAAACAGATCCTGGCTGTCTTTTTTTTTGGCTCACTTGGTTGTACAATGGTGGGTGAAAAAGCCATTTAAGTAGTCTTTTTATTTAGATGACCCCTGCCTTGCTGTGGAACTGCATGTTTTGCTAAGGATGACTAAGAGGCGGTTTCCCAGCAATTGAAAACGCAGTCAAAACCAGAAATTAACTTGTTATGCGTTTCCTTTCTGTAAGTGGAAGGGGTGACGGTAACACCTCTGGTACTTCCTGTTTTAAGTGCTGAAAACGCACATTATCGCATAACCTTGACGGGCCGCTTGTTAATGAAGGTGTCCCAATGATATGTCCCGTTTAGATCAATGAGAAACACGACTGTCTATTATGAGAGGTCATCCAAATAATGACAGCTTTTGTAACGTGTCAATCAATTCAACATTATGATAGTGTAATGGGGCTCTTTTTAACACAATGTATGCAGGAAAATTATTTATTGTTGTAATTTAGTTCGTTTTGTTTGACAATGGACTGATGGAGGAATTAACCTGGCTCTGCCGCACTGTGTTAGCTTCAGTGTGTGCATGCAGCACAGCCTGACTGCTGCTGAGGATGGAGAGCTTCTGGACCGGACGTCTCCATGTCGGGTCACATCTGCGCAACGCCGCGTTTCTCGGACTTTCCATAGCAGTGCTTAACCTGAACGTATTTGAATTCTAATAAGGTGTGATTAGTGAACGTTACCTCAGGCAAACGTTACTCCACCCGGGAGAATTGAGACATAATGTCAATACATTTTGCCATGGATTGCAGCGAACTTGAAGCTCAACATTCAGAACACTTAGTACGCTCGCTAATCACGTATAATACTCCTAATCACAAACACCTGCTCCTTTAATGGTAACGTGTGCCTGGGTTGCTGTTGTGTTATTAACTGCCGACAACGTTACAATGTTCATTTTGACACCCTTAGTAGCTAGTTACCGTGATTAACGTTGCGTAAACCCGCTTTGCAAACATACATTAGCGGACATACCTGCTATTAAGTGCCAGTAAACCCATTTCGTAAGAACGTTAGTGTTGTCAAAGTATACATAATCCATACAGCGGCAGCAAATGTTCTTACCTTTGCCGAAATCAGTCTCTTCCTTTTTGACCGGAGACCTTCTGTGGATTGTGTTGCTCTGGCTGACTACCACGCGCTGCAACGTAGCCCCGCCCTGCTGGCTGCGGGCGCGAGCCCATTGCTCAGTTAGAATACAACAGCAGACGGTTCCTGGCTTCTCATTGGCCAGACCACCTGCCAATCTATTTGGATTCTGCTTCCCGCGTTTTGAGCAGTGCTGCTCTCACAATACATTACGATGCAGCCTATATTTAGGTGTCAACAACTGCAGACATGTGAAAACAAGAGACGCAGTGACCTCCAGTATTAATATAGCCTACCGCAAATAAGACAGACCCATGTTTGTCACATTTATCTTTTTAATGTTTAAACAATAAAAGTAGTCAAAATAATGATCAATTAGAGGGCAAATGTAATATATGTTTTAAGCTGTGATTCCAGCTGAGTAGGCTATTTATTTGTTAAATAACAAATGGATGCCTTTCATTGCCAACCATGAAAGACAGAAAGACAATAACCTGTCAGAACAGAAACATCCTTTTGTCCCTAAGGGAGCATGATTTGTCACTAGTGACTTTGACTTTGTGCCAGCAACATTGGATTAGCTGTCTCAGTAGTGAAAGACTTCTGTAGTGGACAGTGCTGCTTGCTTGCAGGATGTAAGTGTACATGGCTACAGTCAGTCTTTCATAACAAGAGGAGCCTTGACTTGAGCTGCAACCTCAGCCCCCAGAAGTTCCTCTACAATCGTCAGGGCAAACTCGAAACTGGTTCCTGGCCCACGGCTGGTGATGTAATGTCCATCCTTCTGTACTCGAGCCTCTGAATATGTATAGTGGTCTAAAAAAAGACAAAGAGCAATACCATAAGAATAATCACAACATAAGAGCTTTCGTCTACAGACTGATAGCCACCCTTCAGACATCCCACTGTAGTATAAGCACTTACGTAGAGATAATCTATCACAATTTGAACTGACCCAATTCTAGTATGTTCTTTCAAATTCATGCATCTGCCTTCATCTGTGTGGTGTGCTCTTCTCTGCATAGTGACATGATGTTCTATAGTTGAAAAATAACGAATACAGCACCATCTGCTGCCCTTTACAAATAATTACAATTCCTCCTTTAGTGAGTTAGAGCTGCAAATGTTTGAGCCACCAGCTGTACATTAAACACATTTTTCCACATGTTTGTTTGCATGAAGTGTTTGATTTTTACCTCCAACCATCATCTTCTCCTTCATGGCAGGATGTGTGGTGACTGTGCTGCCGTAGCCAATGCCATGTGCCAGAAGAGCAGTGGGACCTACAGAAGGGCAAAGATGTTTTAGGTTATTTCAACTGCTTCCTGTGATACGTTGACACTTCTTTTGCTTACTACTATGTTATGCAGTTAAAAATAAATACACTGAATCATCGAATCACTTCCCTCAAGCTAAACAAAAAATCCAAATACAGAAAATGCAGCACTTAACATAAGGCATTGCAGTCAGAACATTCTGTCCTAAAAAATTGTCCTCAACTGTGCCATTGTTTCTAAGAATAAACTCATTAAACCTACAGTTTCAGCCTCGCCAAAGATTCTGCAGCATATTGAAATGAGAGAAAGGAGGAGAGGCTGAAGACATTGACTGCTGCTGCATTAACTTTGGCAACGTCCTACCACTGCAGTGAGCTCATCCAAAAACTGTTAATAAATAGAAAGTTATTGATTGTGCTCCTTGGCTGCCTTCCCATGCAGTCTAAACATTACATTTTCCCCTGGCAGAACAGCAGGATGCCAGGTAAAGCCTAGCTTACTCCTGTTACAAAAAAGTCCCCACCCAGAGGACGCCAGTCTGGGAGAGAGAGACCTTCTGAGAACCAGAGTCAGACAGCGAGGCAGACCTAGAGAGATTTAAGATAATAGCCATCTTTCTATTATCTGATGAAACTATGTAAAATAATATGATTATGTTTTGTGAACATGCATGTAACAGAATAGTAAGTCTTGCAACTGTCCCTCTTGCTGGCAGGTTCATTAAACTGTATATTCCTGTGAGGATTTCACTCATTTTCTAGGACACCCTTCAATCCACTTTGCCGCACTGCTCCCCGTCCTTATTCAATATGTCCTTCGAGTGTCCTTTCTCTGCATACCGAGACTGTCAAATACAATGTCAGGGCTTTTGGGTTCAGTAAGGGACAGTTATTAATCAAACTCTCAACCTTCCGTTCAAAAAGGCCATCAATTAATGAAGCATGTCATCCGTTAACTGTACATGTAATACAGTGATAAACTCTTTCAAGGGCACATCTGGTGAATGAAAGATACCCGAAAACCACCATGTATATAAAAACTGAAACAATGTTTGTCTAAAAACGTAATTCTATTTGCCAGCAACATGAGTTTTGCATTGGGGATCATGTCGAATTTAAACTTTAACCCATAAAAGGCATTAGTACTTGAGCTTTGTGCTGTGTAATAATTAGGATTTGTTTTCACAAACTGTACCTGCACAGATGGCTGCGATCAGACCCTTTCTGCCATCTTGTTCCTTTAGCACCTCCTTCACAGCAGGAGACTGCAGGACAGCATGGAAAACAGATGCACATGAAGTTATTTGCATGCCATGTGATTGCAGTTTATTTGCTGACTATGATACAATCATTCAAACAAACTGGCAATGATAACATTTTAACACATACAGTACAAAAATAAACTTGTTTATTGTTTAAAAAAATCTGTTTTAAATACAACCACAGATGTATTAAACATTCAAATCTATCCAAATCATTTGATGAAATTGCAGACTTTTATAGGTTTTAGTTTCTGAAAATTATTATTATTATTATAAGTTATTAGATTTAGTATATTATCAATATGTTAAAGATTCTAAAGCTGAATGTACAACCATTGACATCAAAAACAGTCCATGAAGCAGTAACTCTATACTTAAATGTAAATGATGTTATGTTATGTTAGTAAGACCTTCAAAACAACTAATCATCGTATTATATTAACGAATGGGGTCCTACATGGTGTTGTCACATTCTTCCATGTACCGATTGGAATTTATCTAAATCGGAATCAGAATCTGACAATATTTGGTATGTTGTTGTCAATCAAATCTGATCAAAGCACAACCACACAGACCTTCATAGGGGCAGTTGAGTGAATGTGTTGAATATTTTAAATGTTAGTTTATATGTGAAAGTTCAGGGCAATTGAATCTTGAACTCTTTATTCAACTCAACTTTACCTTATGACAAAAAAGGGACAACCATTGGGCTACACCGGGCCATGGAAAAACCCTAAATGTGATTGTTACCTTAGAAGATCAAAACATGTAGAGACTGTTGGATCTAAAGGCAGTCAGAGTGTTTCTCACCTCAGCCAGATTCTGAGCCCCTGGCATTCCCCTGGAAGTAGCACCACATCGTACGGACCCTGAGAGACAAACCATCAATGATATAGATGAACTGTAATGGCTTGATATTGTCGAACACTATTCAGAATGCAAAAAATGATTTGTGTATGTTTTCCCCTACAATGAACTTGCCTTGGTGTTTGGCGCATAGACATAGTACAGACAATGGAAAATATCAAAGCATACAAACAATAATTAAACAAATTGACAGTAAACAAGAAAGGACAATACATACATTAGATTTAAAAATGAAGATATTTGTTTATGATAATGCTTAATACTGTTAGTTCAAAAGGATATTTTGATCATGTTTTGATTAATGGAGCTGATCAAACTGAAAATATATCCATAAAAAAATACAAAATATAATAAAGTGAAGCATGTAATGTAGTGTTAGTAGATAGAAACTGAGCCCAACCTGTGCGATGGCCTCCTCCAGACTGGCATCAGGACAGATGACGACGTTTCTGCTGCACTGTACTGGCTCTTTGCCCGTCAGGCCCGCAACAGTCACTGCAATCTGCACGTTTGGTTAGGCAAAATAAAAACGATATAATTAGCATAAAGTCACTATGTGTGAAATGTTACTTAATGCTTTCACCCAAGTCGTGTACTTAAGTACAATGTTGAGGTAACTCAACCTTTTAAAGGTCTGAGTACTTCATCTACAACTAAAAGGCCCAACTTGGCATCCTGTCTGTTTATGGTTGATGGAGACTTTTATTTTGAAGGCTAAAATGTCCGAGGAGTGCAAAGAGTTTGACATTTAACTTGCCCTCAGTCTGCACCATCGACATAAAGCTCTGGCCCTGTCCATGCATGGTCTGCACTAATTGTAAAGCCTGTCAAAACTGTTAACAACACTATTTAACCTACAAATGAGATAAATGTTCAACACTGTGTTTTCTGATAATTAATAAACTAATAGCAAAATAAAATAGCCTAATAAAATCGTGATAGTGTAGTGCACTGATTGAAGGGGTTGCATTACTATAAACCAAGCAAGGTATGTTGCCTCTAGCATTATTATTATTATTATAAGCTACCTAGCTAGCAAGCTAACTGCTAGCATACAACAAGTCAACAAACCCCAGCTCTACGCATGATGTCCACAGGAATGACAGTCTCCATCTCCTCTGCACCTTTAGACAGGATCACTAACGCCTTCTTTCCTGCCATGGTTAGCTCGCAGTAATGCTACTTTCAGGAGCAGAGACGCTAACTTAGTTCAGCCGAAACTTCCAGCAGCAACTAGCATGCTCAGCAGAGGTTTTGACAGGAGCAGGGTTGCCAGACTGCGCCCTCTATCCCTATTTCACAGACGGTGCTCCATGTACAACGTGATATTTAAAATAAACCTGTCCTGTACGCCATACACTTCTTCTTTGAGGTTTTTTTTCATGAAAGTTGTCATCCTCACCTTTGCATCTCAAATACTGGACTCACGCTGACAAACAACACCAACTAATATGTGTAAACTAATTGAGTAGTCTACACTCTCAGGGGACGATGCTTATTTGGACACAATCAAGTAGAAGAATGGTCTTATTTTGTGTAAAAATATGCCTTAAAACGTAAGCAAGAGACACAAACTATTTACCTTCAGTATTATTATGGATCATGCACATATAAAGGACCAGGAGAGAGATTGTACTAACTGTGATATAGAGCAGCTGATGCTAGCATTAATTCCACTGAGATAAGATAAAATAAGATACAAAAATATGATTATTTTGACACATACAACTTTACACAAAAGGTTGCCTTGCCAGTGATAGTTCAGCTACAATCAAGCATCAAAGCAAGGTGCTTGTAATGGCCTTTAATACCAAACACTATGCTTTCTTCCAGCAGGTGGAGGTATTGGCCAACTATTGTAGAGGGGATGTCAAAGGAACTTGACAAATAGGTTTACAGAATAGTCATATTCACCACTGTCTTAAATCCAGAACAACAATGTTACTTCTACAAAATGTTGACAAAACCACAACATATGTATTTCTTATTTTTTTTAGGAGATTCGTGTACCAGTTAATGCCAGTTAATCACAGGCTTATCATCAGCTGCAAAGTGCAATCCAAAGAGCTATAATTAATCTGGTTTTTAAAACAACACCAGGCTGCAGGTCATTGAGTTCACCAAGTTCTTCAAGATCTGTCTGAGAACTTCTGCACCAAACTCTTAAGACAGTTGGGGAATCATATTCCAGTGTAAATCCCAGACTTAATGACTGGGGCTTTAGTGTGTAGGCACCCATCCTAGTTAGTGTGCCTCTGTGCATTCTGCTGCAAGATTCACTTTCATATTTGTGTGACAAACTAGAGCCCAGTGAAACGGCAGATTAGACAAAAGCGTAGGGGGTGCTGGCAGCAGGTTGTTTGTTGCGTGCCTGTGAGTGAATCAGGAGGCAGCGGTGATTACCAACATATGCAGCTGGGGATCAACTGAACCAGACCCGCGGTGGCACTCAAGCTAATTTCCATACATTAATTCACTTATGTACATTTACTAATTCCTTTCAGCATTTAATCATAAAGTGCAGGATCACACTGGGGAAATATATGTTAAAGTTGCAGCAGTAAGGATGACACTGAAAACAAAACATCTGACAAATTAGAAATATAGCTATTTTCACAGGGCTTTAACTAACTTTAATTCCAAGATGTTCATAAAATAAAAATGTTTTAAAACTATGCCTGGAAATGGAAGAATATGAATAGGACGGGCACTTTAATATATAACAATTACCATTTATAATTGAAAAATAAGTTATCTGTGTAGCCAAAGCCTGATACAAATTATTCCTTTGTGTGATAGATGACCATTGTTGTCCAAATAAAACACATGAGCCACATTGTTGCACTCGATTTATTATTTACAATAAACATGAGCACATACACACACTCATTATGGCCCATATGAATCCACGGTTGAACATAGTACCAAACAAATGCACTGTATAATATTTACCAAAATACACAGTGCCACACCCTTACAGTAAAGGATATTACTTTTGTAAATGTCTTTCTTTAAATCAAACTACACATATTGGTTGAAAAAGGTTTTTCAACTCGATAAACTGGGCTTAGATCTAAGGAGGAAGATGGGGAGTAGGAAACCAGCTAGTACTTACAGTATGTTTTCTTAGTTTCATAGTCATTTACAATAGGAAAAAAAAGAATGAGTGCCAAACATATCGTTTATAGGATGAAAAACGACATCCTGCTTTGTAACATAGTTAACAGCAGAAGCAGAAATAGTAGAAAAAGATCATCTAGTGTATATTGTAGATGTGATACAATATACAATAGCTCGTATGTTCTTCTTGGGATACTTGAGATTGGCCTTTTGAGTAAAAGGGTGCAAATCAGTGGATTCCTTTGCGTATTATTATTTCTCTCGTGCCCCCTCATGCTGTGCCACCAGGCCTTGCTCTACTTTATCTGGCCCTTCGCAGAGGTCTGCTCTAAAACCTGAAGGGCTTCCAGAATCAAACCTCCAAGGAGGCGAGAATACAGAAACATTTCTTCATGTTTTACAAGACGGGGACAGAGGGAAAAAAGAAAATCCTCAAACTGAAATGAGGGAATTCCACAAGTTACTGTTTGTCACAAAGTAATCCTGTTACTATTGCAAAGAATATGAAACGGTGTAAACATGGAAATAAACTGCTAATATGGATATAGCTTACAAGCAGAAGCCCTGTTCAGTTGAGATATACAGCTGCAAACCCTGTTTCAGATCCCCAGTAAGGAAGAGTGCCATAACATTCAAAAGTGGTTACAGAAAATGTGCTTCTACAGTGAGAGATTACATTTTACAGATGATTTCTCAAGTTATTCTTTGCATTGTTACATTTCAACTCATTTTGGTCCAACCCAGTAACTCTTTCCCAGTGATCTAATAGCAGCATTCAGGGCTTACATTTCTGCAGACTGAAAACTGATGAATATTTAGAAGCATTTTATCTCCCCATCTGTGCACAGGCTTTATCTTGTGTCTGTTTCACACATTGTAAGCCACTGAGTGCACGAAGTGAGTGACAAGCATATAATCTTGATTGCATCTTGATGCCATTACTTTATGCTGCCAAGCGCTCAGGTGACAGCTGGGGGACAGTGAAGAGATCTGGGAGAATAAGGTGACATTGAATTTTGTGCACCTGTGTCGACTCGGAAGTCAGCAGCTGCATATAAACACAAGATGGCGCCATGCAGTTGAGATAGTTCAAAAGCAAGGCCAAGTGTGTAAGAATGTTTTCAACAATAATCTCCTCAAAAGGCAAAAAGAAAACAAAAGTTGACTTTGTCAGGCTAAAACAAAGGCCTCTTTGTCAAATCATCAATCATTGAAATGTGCTTGATTATCAGATAAACTGATACAAAAAAATGTGTGTGAATGTCTGAACATCCATTCAACAATTTGTGCTAAATGCTTTAGAGTTATTAAGATGAGATTCATATAAATTCAACGCATGACAAATGGTTTACAGCTACAGAGGCAGTATTACAAATTAAAGCAGCACATTAATGTGTTGTTTAGATTATTGAGAATGTTTAACATCAGAAACGAGAATTGCCTCGCAGTCATTTCTGGATGCAATAATCTGCCTATCCACAATTTATGCCCCCACCCATGCTATTTTTCGGGGGGGCAAAAGTGAGTCTCCTTTTCTTTTATTCTCCCTCTCTGTCTCAATGAGTATCAGGCTGTTTTGCTCTCAGCTTGCCTCTATTAGACCTTTTAATGCCGTACAGCGTGGCCTATCTTCAAACAGGAATGCTGATGATACTGGCCCTGCAGCGGTGCTCCCCCCCCCCAGCCCCAGCCCTGGCCTGCTCCTCTACATAGAGGGCAATAAAGACACAAGGAGGATTAGTGTTGTGTGCCTAACAAAGTGGTTGCCAGAGAGTGAGAGGGCCATGCCCATGGGCTCAAACGCAACCCTGCTCAGCTCCACTCGGCTCTGTCGAGGTCCCCCCCTGCTCAGGCTTCCCTAAGGTCTGCTCTCTCTCAGGGAGCTCTGTGGATGTGTGATAGACTCTGAGTGGGTGAATTCATGTTGATGCTAAAGAGGCAGAGGACGCAGACAGATAATCCACAGCTTAGCATTGCTGTAGTAACTTTCCCCTTAAACAAGGGAACATATGTGCAAACAGTTACATTTAATTCAATCACATACTCGTGCTGTGCATATCTTTTGCTGAATACTTTGCCACAGTGAACTCAGACAAAAAAGTTCCAACTCTTTGACCAGTAGGCGTTTTAAAACTACCATGCTGATGTAGTTTAGCCTACACAGCAACATGTGTCTCTTTGTGTTGATTTATCCCACTCACCATCCAGTGGAAAACATAGTTTGATACAAAGCAGGCAGGTTAAAGGCTGTATAGTTAGTTTATGGATATCTCTCCCACTATAACCACTTTGCTTGTATAAAAGGAACACCATATAATTGTACAAGTCTGATAAACAGAGGGGCTGGGGTCTTGTAAATGTCGTCACATTAGATAGGAGTGTTACATCTGAGATTACTGTGGAGGAACATGTCTGTGGGTGCAGGCCTGGGAGGACAGTAGCCTCTGGTTTGATGGAAAGCCGTGTACAGGACAGGACAGGTGAACCAAACAGCTGCTACCCCCGTTTCTCCTTAAAACCCCCAGCGTGACAGATTAGGCCATGGCTCTCACACATTACGGCCTTCTTTTCACACGGTAGCTGTCTCAGGCCACGTTACATACTGTACGTCTTTTAGATGGTCCACTTTGTGCTTTGGGTAATGACATTTACACTGGAGACCCCAGAATATGCAGACATATTGTGGCTATTAAAGTTCCTTTCTCCCTTTTAAACTGCAACCCTCTGTCTGTTTTGGGTCCTCTTCACTCTTCAAGCTGTTTGCCTTTACCTCTGTCACGCCAACCAGCATAAACTGCTGCGTGCAGAAGACAGGCCAAGTTCTGTTAATACTTGGCTAAGTTTACATGTTCATTCACACTTCATTATAGGAGAAGCCCTGGGTTCTGAATGGTTTCAGTATGTCAGAGGCACAATAAAAAAAATGGTTGTCCCTTTAATAGTCGATATACCCACAATGAAAGTACAATACTGATTACAAATATTGTAAAATTGTTTTAAAAATGTAAAGATTGAAAGAAAAAAAATTACCATTGTTTAAAAAAATGACAGAATGGAAAGAACATTTATCTTTAAGAAAAAAGATTCTCTCAAATACTGTTTACTGTATCATATTTTGATTATAGTAGTTTATTCTTATGGGGTATTATTTGTTTGCAACTCAGCATAATT